TAGAACTTACAGAACTTTTAGTACATAGTCCCACCATTTTAGGGGACCAAAAGTATTGGGATAAATTCACTAATATGTGTATTGAAGTAGTCCAAAGTTTAGTATTTGGTCCCATATTCCTAGCACACATTGATGGGGCGGCAGGTAGCTTAGTGGGTAAGAGCGTTGTGCCAGTAGCCGAAAGGTCGCTGGTTCTAATCCCCGAGCCGACTAGGTGAAAAATCTGTCGATGTGCCCTTGAGCAAGGCACTTAACCCTAATTGCTCCTGTAAGTCGCTCTGGATAAGAGCGTCTGCTAAATGACTGTAAATGTAAATTACATCTCGCTTGTGACTACAAACTTGTTAGATGCATTTGCTTTTTGTTTCGCTTGTGTTTCAGATTATTTTGTACCAAATATAAATTAATGGTAAATAATGTATTGTGTCATTTTGGAGTCACTTTTATTGTAAATAAGAATAGAATATGTTTAAAAACCCTTCTACATTAATGTGGATGCTACCATGATTATGGATCATTCTGAAAGAATCGTGAATAATGATGAGTGAGAAAGTTAGACGCACAAATATCAAATCCCCCAAGACATGCTAACCTCTAACCATTACAATAACAAGGGAGGCTAGCATTTTGGGGGGATATGATCTACAGTGCATTCGGAAAGTATTCAGACCCCTTGACTTTTTCAACATTTTTGTTACATTTATTCTAAAATTGATTAAATTGATTTCTTTCCTCATCAATTTACACACAATACCCTCAATTATAAACTATAAAATATTAAATTAAATATATTCAATATTAAAACTAAATATTACCTCAATTACCTAAACTAACCTGTGCCCCCGCACATTGCCTCTGTACCGGTACCCCCTGTATATAGCCTCCCTACAGTTATATTATTTTGTACTTATATATTTCTTTACTTAACACTTATTTTTCTTAAAACTGCATTGTTGGTTAAGGGCTTGTAAGTAAACATTTCAGAATAAGGTCTAAACCTGTTGTATTCGGCGCATGTGGGAAATACATTTTGATTTGATTTGATTTAATGACAAAGCAAAAAACGTTTTGACAATTTTGCACATTTATTAAAAATAATCTCACATTTACATAAGTTTTCAGACCCTTTACTCAGTACTTTGTTGAAGCACCTTTGGCAGAAATTACAGCCTCAAGTCTTCTTGGGTATGACGCTACAAGCTTGGCACACCTGTATTTGGGGAATTTATCCCATTCTTCTCTGCAGATCCTCTCAAGCTCTGTCAGGTTGGATGGGGAGCGTCATGCACAGCTATTTTCAGGTCTCTCCAGAGACGTTCAATCGGGTTCAAGTCCGGGCTCTGCCTGGGCCACTCAAGGACATTCAGAGACTTGTCCCGAAGCCACTCTTTAGTTGTTTTGGCTGTGTGCTTAGGGTCGTTGTCCTGTTGGAAGGTTAACCTTTGCCCCAGTCTGAGGTCCTGAGCGCTCTGGAGCAGGTTTTCATCAAGGATCTCTCTGTACTTTGCTCCATTCATCTTTCCCTCGATCCTGACTAGTCTCCCAGTCCCTGCCACTGAAAAACATTCCCACAGCATGATGCTGCCACCACCATGCTTCACCGTAGGGATGGTGCCAGGTTTCCTCCACACGTGACACTTGGCATTCAGGCCAAAGAGTTCAATCTTGGTTTCATCAGACCAGAGAATCTTGTTTCTCATTGTCTGAGAGTCCTTTAGGTGCCTTTTGGCAAACTCCAAGTGAGCTGTCATGTGCCTTTTACTGAGTAGTGGCTTCATTCTGGCCACTCTACCATAAAGGCGTGATTGGTGGAGTGCTGCAGAGATGGTTGTCCTTCTGGAAGGTGCTCCCATCTCCACAGAGGAACACTGGAGCTCTATCAGAGCGACCATTGGGTTATTGGTCACCTCCCTAACCAAGGCCCTTCTCCCCTGTTTGCTCAGTTTGGCCAGGCGGCCAGCTCTAGGAAGAGTCTTTGTGGTTACAAACTTCTTCCATTTAAGAATGATGGAGGCCACTGTGCTCTTGGGGACCTTCAACGCTGCATAAATGTTTTGGTACCCTTGCCTAGATCTGTGCCTCGACACAATCCTGTCTCGGAGCTCTATGGACAATTCCTTCGACCTCATGGCTTGGTTTTTGCTCTGACATGCACTGTCAACTGTGGGACCTTATATAGACAGGTGTGTGCCTTTCCAAAACATGTCCAATCAATTGAATTTACCCCAGGTGGACTCCAATCAAGTTGTAGAAACATCTCAAGGATGATCAATGCAAACAGGATGCACCTGAGCTCAATTTCGAGTCTCATAGCAAGGGGTCTGAATACTTATGTACATAAGGTATTTCTGTTTTATTATTTTTAATACATTTGCCAACATTTCTAAAAACCTGTTTTTGTTTTGTCATTATGCGGTATTGTGTGTAGATTGATGAGGAACATGTTTTATTTCATCCATTTAGAATAAGGCTGTAACGTACCAAAATGTGGAAAAAGTCAAGGGGTCACAATACTTCCGAATGTACTGTCCTCTGTAACTTTCTCACTCATCATTATTCATGATTCATTCAAGACTATCCGTAATCATGGTAGCGTCCACATTAATGTAGAAGTGTTTAGAAACATATCCTAGTCACAAACGTGATGTAATCATTGAGTGATAGGAATATGGGACCAATACTTAACTTTTGACTACTTTAATACACAAGTGAATTTGTTCCATTACTTTTGGTCCCCTAAAATGGTGGGACTAGGTACAAAAAGTGCTGTAATTTCTAAACGGTTCACCCGATATGGATGAAAGAATACTCTCAAATTAAAGCTGACAGTCTGCACTTTAACCTCATAGTCATTGTATCATTTCATATCCAAAGTGCTGGAGTACAGAGCCAAAACAACCGAACATGTGTCACTGTCCTAATACTTTTGGAGCTCACTGTACGTGACTCAGTAACCGTGGCGCATCCGAATCCCAACAGAAGAGGAGATGAAAGCTCATTGGAGCTGAGATGGAAGAGGGGGCACCAGAGAGTCAGATATGGACCTTTGCTCCAGGAGTGTGGAAACACCTTGCGTTCTGGCCTTGATGGGCTGGAGGGGGGAAACACCTTGCGTTCTGGGCTAGATGGGCTTTAGGGCAAAAGCTCTTGAAGAGATATTGGTAAAAGAAACAGGCTGTATCTGTTGACTGTTCCTTTTTTAGCCCATTGATGGAATGGACTCTACGAGGCCCTGCAGGAGATTACGTATGATTTGGTCCTGCATGTATTGCTGCCTGTTTCTCCTGGCTGACTGGCCGGCTAGCTGGCTGACTGGCTGGGAGTGGTACAGCTATGGAGAATGTGTAGTGAGATCTATCACTAATCCTGTTCCTTTAGGTGCAGTGTGAAAGTCCCAACCTGGAGAGGAGAGGGCGATGGGCCAACCGCAGAGGGCCTGGAAGAGCACAATCCCTTTCCTATGTTGACTTCCAGCCCGGCTTTGTGGATTAGCACAGCGTGGTAATAGTCGCTGAGCATATTTGTTGAAAGCATTAAAGGTAAAATCATTATCTAAAACAATAACCCAGGTGCTTCATTCAGGTGTTCAGCCAACCAGGAGCCATGGATTAGGCCGTTTATTAGGAGATTAAACATGAAGATGCATAACCAAGGCCAACTTTTTGTCATCACACAGGGGTCGTCACACAAAGGGAGCGTTTCGCATGAAATGCCAGGAATGACGAGAGTCCACATTGCCACAGGGAGATGCCTACCATGACAAAACCTTCAGTTCATGGTGCACTGGCCACTCACTTTGGTTACACAGTGAAAATCAGTGTTTAATCCAGATGAATGCATGCAGGAGTCAGAGCCAGACAAATCAAAACGTGGAAGGCACTAGACCAGTGATCTATGATATATGGACAACAAGGGCAACTTCCACCATTAAAGACTGTGAGCAATCATACATCTTGTTAATCATATATCTCATTTTATACAATAAACCTAACTGGAATTGCATTTTGTCTGGGGGACGACTACAATGACAACAGTTTAAACTAAGACCTTTGGGTATGTGCCAAAAAACAGCCAGCTGTGTGCTCTTAACTTCATACTACGATGAGACCCATTTCAACTGGAAAACATCATTTCAGCAACCAGTAGAGAAGAAATGTACCTGAGCAAAGGCTTTTCCCACTGGGCACACACTGGTTGAATCAACATTGAATTGACGTCTGTGCCCAGTGGTTTGTATGTGCCTGCTTTTCATCACAAATACAGTCATTGCAATCTTACTCAATAGTAATCTAAATGCATGTATTCATAATATTATTTATATGCACAGAGATAATAATCATCTCAATTTCAGTGTCGTATAACGGTGCCTTATCCACATTCTACAATGGAGGCAAACCTTTTCTAACGACACTCAAAACTAACAAATGATAAAACAACCAAAAACGCACTAACAGCACAGATTAGCAGAGAGATTGATATGATGACTGGAAGCATAACCATGGATTTTGTCCAAAACATACCCAAACCATACCCAAAGGTTTGGTGGAGGGACCTTCTCTCTGGCAAAGCCCGGAAATCATGTCTCATTAGAATTAGGTGCAGTTCTGACTAATAGCACTAGGGGATGCTCTTGCATGAAGCAAAACTTTGTCTCCACCAGTATCCCACTTAATAAATTCCTTAAAACGTTAGTATTTCCAGGCTACCACTACATGTAAACACATTACAAAGACTCAAACCACAAGTATGCGACATGTTGTCTACCAGCCCCTTGTGTTCATCTGTTACAGCACGAAATTCCATAATCAACTGCCATACATTTAAATGTAGTTTACAACCTGAAACGTGTTTTAGGAAACATTCACAGTGGTGAAACTCCGTTATGGGTGGATTAGCAACAACATACACATAATGGCTAGGCCTATCCGTGTGAATTTAAAAAGGTCGATTGTCACAGCTGTGAGAAGACTAAATGTTTTAGCATTGGTTTGACTGGTAGCCTATTCCTTGCAGTGCACTGGGGGCTCCTTTAGGAGAGACAATGCATGGAATATCAGGGCAATGCCCACAAACCATTAGGAGGGTGATAATCGAGTACTTACCATATTGACTTCAGATACCATGTCTATACTGGCTATGTCTATGTTCATCCCCACTCCCACAGGGGGACCTAGAACAAACCAACAAAACGGACCGTAATGTTAACCATTTCATGATTTTTGGTTTATAACATTAATATATATCATAAACCACAAATGTAAACCTTTGAATTGCAACTGCCTACAAGCAGCACAAGAGCAATCATTCATTAACTTATTGTCAGCCAGATAACACGATACAATATGGGATTTCGAAAAGCAGGTGCGACGGTGTCTCTGATGTTTATTCGCAAAACACAGTGCATGGTGTTCATTTCGTCTAAATGCTTCGGAATAAATTGAAATTATATACGTATGTCGACAGCTTGTATGAGCGCCCAGCTAAATGTAAATGGTTTTACACCGTTTGTAAAGTAGACACCAATGGCCAACATAACAATGGGTTGGGGAATTGATTATCTCGTTCCACTACAGTCAAAAGGTGTATCATTGATTGAGCCTACAATTTGAAATACCCTTCTAGTATTGTGTTATAAAGTGGTTTGCACACGTGGAACGAGGTGGCACGATTTATCTATAGGCTACCTGGACAAACTGAAGGGTGGGCTATGTGCGTTTAACTTTAAAAAACAAAACGAGGGATTTGGACGATCCACCCAATTAGAGCAACAACTGAGTGTTATAGGGCTGACAATAGCAAAGTAAATTAGAGTTTGTATTAAATTAATTAAATTACCTCCGAAATCTGGCCTCAAGCGAATGTCATATCCTTTCAACAGTCTATCCACCGTTTCTTTTACGATTGACATATTGCTAGGGTCATTGACACTAGGGAAGGATAAGGAATACATTCTTAGATGTGCAGGCTTCTGAAGGCATTATTGAAGTGTTTCTACAGTGTATAAGCCATAACACATTCATTCAAAGAGAAGAGTATCTAAGCTGACCACTTACCTTTGCGCACAGACCACAGCCACTATTACGAGAAAGGTCCAAACCCCAAAGTAGCTCATTTTTCTTATTCTCAACACGGCCATAGTTTTGATATGATTTTGGATTTCAGTGAAGACAGACGTGATCCAACTTATTCTGACCAGTGCAGTAATTCCAATGTGTAGCGCATGCGCATACTCTACCACAACATCAAGGAGCAGCGGCTGCTGATGCTCGTGGCAGAGCAATTTCCCTGCCAGATAACATTTTTTAAAGGGGAAAGTGAAGCCAGAAAGTAAGTGAGCCAAACGGATGCTTCTCCCTCGCCATTCAAGATTTTCTAAAACTGTGAAATAAACGTAATATAGATTAACCTTTACTTTCTTTACTTTCTTATATTCCGTTTATACACATGATTATTCCAATAGAGAGGATGTTTTAAAACTACAACATGCTGAACGAAGTGGGAATACGGGAAGTTTATCGTGAGAAAGAGGACTAGGAGAAATTAGGACGAGGTGGGGGGAGCTGTGTGTAGCTACAGCTCTGAGAAAGCGTGAGCGCGCGCGAGGGCGTTTCAAGGTGCACAATGATTAGTAGAAATATTGCTAGGTAATCACTGGATTATTTGTTATTGGTTTGTTCAAAATAGCAGGAGCTAAATGTATCATTTCTTATAGTATTGATCGATAATCACAACAGGTAGGCCTGGATTGAAATCCTTCCAACACTACATGTATAGGCTATATAAACCTATAATGGCATTCTTTAAACCTCTTGGTCATTCGAGAAATGATCAACTCCAGTTTGGAACTGTCCATGGTGCTGAAATTAGAGTTAAGGGCGCTGCATGGTCAATCTGACGTCTGCATTGGCCGTGCAGCATTTATGGTGATATGGCCTCTGCAGAAGTCAGGGCATTCATACTTCTTGCACTTCGGAGAGCAGCGCAGAGCTGTTGTGAAGGAAGTTGTCAAGGGAGTTTGTGTTTATACAGGACCTCCCGCCCTCACCTACCATTAACCAATAATTTCAATGCGGAGCTATAGGCTACAGGGAAAAGTTGAGAGGCGCACGGAGATGCGGAGCGCAATTTGGCGTGCCTCCGGAGGCTCCGCGATTGCGTCATACCATCCATACCGCGCCTCCAACCACATTTTCGGATCAAACATAAATTGGCTCTTAGGCTACCCATGCACTGTGCTGGTGTTCTCTCTCTCTCTCTCTCTCTCTCTCTCTCTCTCTCTCTCTCTCTCTCTCTCTCTCTCTCTCTCTCTCTCTCTCTCTCTCTCGCTCGCTCTCTCTCTCTCGCTCTCTCTCGCTCTCTCTTTCTTTCGATGAGAGATGCTCCTCAAAGTTATTATGACATGAGTCGACTACCCAATCAATTTCACCAACCGCACCGCTCCTACGCGTTTGTGCTTTTGATGTAAACGTGCGCAGGCGTGCTCAAAATGAGAGCGACTACATTACCACGAGCTGTTTCTCACGTCAATATAGCGCCTCGAGGCTGAGATAATACATGAACACTAGCAAGTAGGCTATACATTATATTAGTAGACATTATGGCACATGTTGAAGTCCCCTCTTGCGGAATATATACATGTTGAAGTCCCTTCTTGCGGTATATATACATGTTGAAGTCCACTCTTACGGTATATAGGCTACTTTATATTTAGTATAGGTTTACTTGTAGCCTGATTGACTCCAAAGACTCCAGTCACCCAAGTAATAGACTGGCAACTGCTCGGTCTCCGACCGCAAGGCACTACAAAGGGTAGTGCGTACGGCCCAGTACATCACTGGGGCCAAGCTTCCTGCCATCCAGGACCTCTATACCAGGCAGTGTCAGAGGAAGGCCCTCAAAATTGTCAAAGACTCCAGCCACCCTAGTCATAGACTGTTATCTCTGCTACCACACGGCAAGCGGTACGGGAGTACCAAGTCTAGGTACTCCGGTACCGCCCACTCACTGTTTATTATCTATGCATAGTCACTTTACCCCTACCTACATGTACAAATTACCTCGACTAACCTCTACCCCTGCACATTGACCTGGTACCGGTACCCCCTGTATATAGCCTAATTTTGTATTATTTTATTGTGTTTAGTATATATACTTTAGTATATTTAGTAAATATTTTCTTAACTCTATTTTTTTTAAACTGCATTGTTGGTTAAGGGCTTATAAGTAAGCATTTCACGGTAAGGTCTACACCTGTTGTATTCGGTGCATGTGACAAATACAATTTGATTTGATTGCTATAAGTGAGACATGTCTTTGCAAGGTAGCATAACCTGGCTTTTCTGAGAATGATGACATCATTGTAATTAGGCCATGTAGAGGGAAACCCTGTTCTCAGTTGGACAAAATATCCAGTATAACAGTTGTCATTAAAACCATAGGCCTTAGTGGCCAAACATAAATAAATAACAAGGTCAAGGTCAAAAGTTTTGTCTATTTGCAAAAAATTGACATTTGTATTTGGCATCTTGGCTTACAGCAGATACATAAAAACACACCACGCCCAATACAAAAACAACAACAGCAATGTTAGGGGCTTTTAAATGTTCCCTACTTCATTCATTCACACACACACACGCACACACGCACGCACACACACACACGCACTCACGCACACACACACACACACACACACACACACACACACACACACACACACACACACACACACACACACACACTCACACACACACACACACACCCCTTCTGGCACTATGTCTTCACTCATTTGATTACCATTCATTTGCTGTACACCTATATGTTTTTTTTACAAATAACCATTCAAATACTCAAATAAAAGTAGTTTTTTGGGCTGTGTATTTGAAAATAAAAAAATACACCCCCCAAAAAGTATTTTAAATATCAGACACTCAAATACATGTATTTGAACCCAGGTCTGATAATGACTGATGGCTTTCTGAGTCATTATAATCAAACACGAGTCATATTTTCTCCCTCATGTCCAGTCAAACTACATCACACCATGTATTGGAACAGGGCGTTTGTGGCTGTGTTTTTGTAAACAGGGTTTGTTTGCTGGCATCCAGGGTATTGATAGATAGGCCTGTCTGGCCTGTGTGTGCACGGAGCCGGTGTACACAGATAGTACAACACAGAACATCATCTGCCATGACTTTGTGTTGCACTGTCACCACAAGCAAGGAAGAAGAGGGGGAAAGTAAGCATTAGCAGTCCTTACACTATGGTACCCACTCACTCAGGGATGTGGTATGTTTGCTGGTTACAACTAAGAAACTGGAAAGATCGTAACTCAAATTCGTAACTAACTTACAGGCACACATAGACACTCACAGGCACATTCCTCAAATACTATGAGACAATTACTAATTTCAAAATGATAAACTCTTGAAAATACCAAAGTTGCATAATGTTTGAGTTCTTTTTTTACTTGAGTGTTGACAAGTAATGCAATCTCCTCACTAAAGTCAATGTTTTTTTTGTCTCCGCTCATGTCTGATTTCATTTTTTATTTCAGTTAAAAGGAAACGTATACAAGTGTAGGATCTTAATTTGACCAGTATTGTTGCAGCAAAATAACCCTGCAGCAACAGCATTTTAACATTTAGTCTATAATGTTGCTTGATCAATGTTTAGTTTATTAGCTGGCCAAAATTAGACTATGTGAAAAGTGCAATACTGTTCATATAATCGTGTGTTCAGTGAATTTATGTAAATCAGGAAGCTCATCTGCATTTCCTGCAGTGCAGGACAATTCACAGCAACAAAAGAGTGATCAAATTAAGATCCTACATCTGTATGAGAGAGAAGTACATTGAGCAGAACAGTGAGTGCCTCCCCCAGTATACTCAAAGCAACATTATTTGTCTTTCCATGTGAAAACATGAATGGTACAAAGAGATACTTGGGTAACACTGCACCAACTTGCTTCTATCTTGCCTGTGTTTCCTAACTACAACAACATTGTAGTTACTAAGGAACTGCTATGGAATTACATGGTCATAGTGTTTATCAGTATAGGTTTTACACAATTGGAACAAGGACTTTGTGATTACAGATACAGTTGCTGAAGTGAATTCCACATGTGTAGCCTAATTACCCATGATATATTTTCTTATGACTTATTTTGTTGTAACTACACTTTTCAAAGTGACGTTGTTATATGTAACTAACTACACAGGGCCAGTAACGCCATTTCCCCTGTTGTCCCATGGGTGATATGGTCTTGATATGACGATTTTAGTAGATTAGGACTATTTAACACACCTTGCCATTAACTACAGGTTATTTTCAGTAACATGTTTATTTCCATGTTATCACTTGTCGCAAAGGGATTATTGAATCAAATGTTATGTATGTACAATCTTGTTCAAAGGATACACTTGTAATTATAATGTACCTACTCAGGAGCAACTGATTGTGAATTGGAGCACAATAGGTTTAATATTTTTAATTATTAGCTAGATATGTAATTACAATAACAACCTTTGCAAACTATTCTATTCTAACCAGGGGTGTATTCACACACACATACAAACACACACAGTCTTGCGCAGCTAGCCTTGTGGGGACATACAATTCAGTCCCGTTCAAATTCCTATTTTCCCTAACACCTAACCCTAACCATAAACCTAACTCTAACCCTAAACCTAACTCTAACCCTAACCCTAACCCTAACCCTAACCTTAACCCATAAACCCAACCTTAACCCTAACCCTAAACCTAAACCTAACCCTAGCTCCTAACCCTAACACTAAAACTAACCCTATCTCCTAACCCTAACCCTCAACCTAATTCTAACGTTAACCTCTACGGGATCTATGTCCCGTATACGGGATGGTTGAGCTAACGTGCACTAATGTGATGAGCATGACTGTTGTAAGTAACAGCAAACTTTCCAGGACATAGACATGT